CTGATATTAATAAGATTGACAAAATTTGATATGGGAATCACTTTTGATATTTTTTATTACCTCATTAGTGCTATATATTTTTATTAAAATTTTATTTTGGTTCATTTAATTTAAATTATGCCCTTAAAAAATTGTATATCAATTTCTGTCGGTTTGGTATGTAAAATTGTTGCCAATTTCAAGGTCATTTTGTTGGAATGTAGTATTTGGTTTACTAAAATAAGTGCTTAGCTCTATTGTATGGGATTGGGGTGTCTGTTGTGCACCCAACACAGCAAGTATTGTTGTGCAGTCTTATGGGCTTATTTCAGGATCCGTTTTGATAATTTGAACCGTTCACATTTTAGAGTACATCGAGTAGAACATGCTTGTCAAAAGTTAAGTTAATTAGATATCATTAACCCTGTCATCCACTTACATTTGTATTCATTTTAATATTTTAAATTACAATGTCATTTATTTTTCAAGATACAAATGTGAGTGGATGAAGGGGTTAACAATATCCGATTAATTTGATTTTTGGCAGCTATGTTCTACTCGATGTAATATAAAATGTGAACGATTCAGATTATTAAAATAGATCCCAAAATGAACCCATAAAGCCGCCAAGCAGTGCCTGCTATGCTGAGTGCACAGCAAGCACCCCAAATTCTATTGTATGTGGGGTTTAATCCTCGATCTTCTAAATCTGGAGTTAGAACAGATTGAGTAAAATTTCATTCTTATTTTTGATTCAATAAAAAATAAAATAGAATCGTTGTTCATTAATATAAGAGAATAATCAGTTTATTAGAAAGACAAAAAATAATCATCTCATTCCTACTTAAAATTGTTCAAAATTCTTATATTACTTCGGGGAAAAAAATAAAAAAAACCATGTGAGCATATGCAACTTATAATCTACCAATTTTTATTTATTTATTTACTTATTTTTTGATGCCTTATAATATAACACAAGTTCACATGCGATTTTTGTTATCTATATCTTAAATGGATTTCATTAAGCTTCTTTCAAAGGTTTTATATAGCAAAGGAGAGGGGAGGGGTCCCAATCCCTGCGAGTCTCATCTGTCATGAGCACATGGTCAATCATTTTAGGGTGGTTGGTTTGTTTGGTCCTTATTATTAGGTGCAGTAAATCTAGAAGTGTCCATTTTTTTTTTTTTAAATATTAAATATATGATGGAGATTGGATTCTTTTATGGTGAATCTTACACTTAATCACGCCTCAAATTTTCAAGATTCAACTCATGAGATTAAATAATTAAATAATAGATAATAATGAGTTAAATAAATACTATGTCTCTCATGTAAATTGATATAATAATTACAAACATTACATGGGTTGTTCAGCTACATACAACCCACCATTAAGATCTAATAAGTGATATGAACATGATTTATATAGGACAAACAGTAATCTCATACATTAATTGAAATGTCCAAAGACTTATATCAATTACAAGAGTACAATCCTTACATGAAAGGCATTTGGCCTATAAATAAATGGCCTACAACCTACAAATAAATAGAGCAACCTTACTCCACTCTAACACACAGTCCAACGCTTCATCTCCACATCTTGCATAACATTAATACTTAAGATTTCAGTAACATAGGGTAAGCATATAACCCAATAAGAAACATTTCTAAAACTAATACAACCTCACAAACATAAATGATCATGATAATATATATATATATATAACAAACTCAATACGTTTCCTAACACAAGTCTTTGTTCAATTAAATCATTCTCTACCTATCTAAATTCCTTATTCAATTGACCCATTTCCTTTATCAATTCTAATTCCCAGTAACTCCTTATGCATACACATATCTAATCAATCCAACTATGGTTGTCTTAAGCACCACCCAAACCAATGCACTATAAAAAGTCGCATTCTGTTAGTGAGTATAGATAAGCGTCACCTAATCCTGGCCATCATTGAGCACCACTTGTAGAAAAATATTTTCGAAAAAATTAATTTAATGCAAATAAATAATAAAATAAAATACTATAAATTTCTTATAGAAATTTTGTCAAGTTAATATAGATTGTGACCGAGATCAGTATTTGAACATTGTGTCTTGAAGACGGAATTTCACTCTCGCCACTTATGCTAGCGATTAATGGACGTTCTGCCTCTAGGAATTGCACAATTTTTTGTGTATACAGCGAACTAATTTGTGTCATGTATTCTCTCTTATATACTTGCCTAGATATAATGTATGAATCCTAAAACTTCTTAACAAATGAATGCCATGGGAATGGTATTTATAAAAGTATTTGTGACTGTTCATAAAAGTTATGACTCTAGGGTTACATCTTTTCATATGGAGAGATATCACGAAAGATTGCATCATTTCATTCAAATGGAGTCCATTTCCATTCACTTCTAAATTTTTTCCAACCCCACTTACTAGTGTACAATATGAGTTACACTTCCTCACCAGTGGCCATCGCTAAGCACCACATCCAAACCTCACAATTCTATCTCAACAATTCAATTAAGATCAAATTGCTTTCTTAATTATGTCCGTTGTTATCCAAATCCTATAAAACGTGTGATTTACACCTCTGTTTAACAATGAGTTTTTATCCTTTTCAAGACATCATAATGTGTGAGTTATTAACAATCATTAAAACAAACCATTTTCATTTCTAATGGTTACTCACAATTTACCAACAACTTTATTTCACAAATCATACTCTCAATTTCTCAACAAATAATGTTCTATGCATAAATTAGTGTACTAACTAGTATATCAATTAATGATGTGACATAATTACACTAATTGGTGCATGTAGCACCATTGTTTCCCAACACACTCACTTTCACCAATTTTACTTCCATAACATAATACTCATTACAGTTTTATCAATTTCAACAGCTCATCAAATTTTCAAATTCCAAAATCATATACACTTGGGGTTTTCAACAAATTGGGTTTTTCCAAATAAAATCACCCATATGCAAATTTATATGTAGAAAATAAGTTTGACCGCTAGAATCTCAATAATCAACACCCAATTTAACTAAACCTTCAATCCACAACTTATGATTTTCCAAATAACATCAACATAACAACAATAACATGGTTTGCATATTCAAAATACCACAAATTTATTAACAAACTCGTATTGAGTTAGAGAAATACAACCCTGCCTCTTGACGGGAAGAGGAGAAGGTAAAAGTATCATTTGAAGCCCGAAATAAGATTTGGTTGAGATTAAACCGAAACCCTCACCAAGCTCTCCAACAACTGAGAAAGAGTTGGAGATCAAACCCACGCGTAGACACTCCGAAATTAACATATAAGCCTAAGAAATTAGGGCTAAATCTTCTAGAGGAGTGAAAAAGAGAAAAGGAATCCGAAAATGAGATAATTCGTGTGCTACTCTATTTTTATATAAAACAGATTGCGGACGCAAACACACCATCACAGTCGCCAACACCACATCGCGGGTGCGACCACACAGGCCACGGCTCCCTCCACGCCCCATAGCGGGCCACACAATTTTCCCCAAACCAACAAATAAAAAATATATGAATTAACAAAATAACTTAAGGTGATCAACTTTTGACCAACTTCAAATATTTAAAACTAAACTTATTAGTAAGTAAGTCTGATCCATAAGATTGGCCCATAACTTCTCCAAGATCATAGTGGCGTTGAAAAGTTGTTGTTGTGTTGATGCCACACATGAGCCCAATTCATTTGGAGAGAATTCATTTGCCACGCCAAAAAAGGGAAAAAAATACAAAAATAAAAATAAACATACAAGAAAGCCCAAATGGAAGCTAAAGTCCAATGGGCCCACGGAAGTCACATTGCAAGCAAAACAAAGAAAGCCCAAATGGAAGCTAAAGTCCAATGGGCCCACGGAAGTCACATTGCAAGCAAAACAAACGAATCGCCAGCCAAGCCCACTTAAGATATGTGATCCGATTTGCATCTTTATTAATTTTTTACAGTTAGTTTTTTTATTTTTATTTTTATTTATCTAATATTTTTATTAAAAACCTTGTTTCTTAAAATATATATTTATATGCATAATGTTTTAAAAAATATCAACAAACAAAAGACAAAAATATAATAAAACAACTTCCCACCAATCCTTCATTTGAACTAGAGGGTCTAGTTTTGCTAATGTGGACTAACTTTTATTGCTTGAAAAAGTAGATTATTTATATTAAGAAAAATATATACTTACATTTCTTTGTTAAAAGTTTAATTTGATTAAGTCTTTGCTTGTCCAAGTTTTTAGGAGTCTATTAGTTTATCAAGTCCATAGGAGTCTATTACAACTGTGGTTAGTCAGTTCCTAAATTTGTTTTTTCACAGTCAGTTAGTTCCTTATTTGTTGTTGTGTTAGTTCATGTACTCTACTATTTAAGTAGCTGATTACAGTGAATAAAGTACTTCAATTTTTCCATAAGTTTTTCTCCCAATTTCGTATCAGTGGTATCAGAGCCAAATACTCTGAATTGGAAAGTAGACAGTGTACTCAGAGCTGAAGCTCTTGTCTACTCTCTGGTGTTTGTTTTTTTTATTTCTGAGCAATAGCAGTCAATCTCTCTTAATGGCATTAGAGACTTTTGTGCAACCTGCTATACCTAGATTTGATGGTCACTATGACCATTGGAGCATGCTGATGGAAAATTTCTTGAGATCCAAAGAATATTGGCATCTCGTTGAAACTGGTTTTCCAGAAACAGAGTCTAGCACCTTGACGGATACTCAAAAAAACGAAGCTAGAAGAACAGAGATTGAAGGACCTGAAGGTAAAGAATTACTTGTTCCAAGCAATTGATCGAACAATCTTGGAGACGATTCTCACCAAAGATACTTCAAAACAAATATGGGACGCAATGAAGCAGAAATATCAAGGTACTGCAAAGGTGAAATGAGCACACCTTCAAACACTTTGTGTGGAATTTGAGACTCTTCGCATGCAACCGACAGAGTCAATTGAGGAATACTTCTCCAGAACCATGTCCATCGCAAACAAGATGAGAACCAGCGGAGACAAGATGGAAGACATTACCATAATCGAGAAGATTCTTCGATTGATGACCTTGAAGTTTGAACACGTGGTCTGCTCGATTGAGGAATCAAAGGATCTTGATGCCCTTTCCATTGAAGAATTGATGAGTTCGCTGAGAGTCCACGAGCAACGGATTAATCAGCATGTAGCAGTGGAGCAAGCATTGCAGCTACAATACTCATTCAACAACCAATCTTTCCAAAAGAAGGGATACGGTCAAGGAAGGGGAAGAAGCAGCAGCAGTAACAATGATCACTCCACACATGGCAATCAAGTTCATGACCCCAAAGGTAGAGGTAAAGGACGAGATAATCATCAAAGTGGAAACCAGGAATCAAAACCATTTGACAAATCCAAAGTCAAATGCTACAGATGTCAAAGGTATGGTCATTATCGTTCTGAATGTAGGACTAAATTGTATCAAGAAAGGGGAGCAAAATCAAATTTTGCGGAGAAGGAAGAAGAGGTTTCTCTTCTTATGGCTTGCAACATAACTGAAGATACCCATAAAAGAATGTGGTACTTGGACACAGGATCTAGTAATCATATGTGTGGAAACAAGTCTATATTCTCTGAATTAGATGAGTCCTTCCATTCCACTGTCAAATTTGGAGATGATTCTACTATCTCTGTTATGGGGAAGGGCACCATTCAAATTCAGACTTCCAAAAGTGCTAAACAGACTATTTCAAATGTGTTTTATGTACCAGGTTTGAAAACTAATCTATTGAGTGTAGGTCAACTTCAAGAAAAGGGATATGAGATCATCATTAAAGAAGGAACCTGCAGAATTCATGATCCAAAGATGGGTCTGATCACTCAAGTGAATATGACATCAAATCGGATGTTTCCTCTATACATCCAGAATGATATCCTTCCTTGCTTTTCTGCTATGGTGAAAGATTTAGCTTGGCTATGGCATTTTCGCTATGGGCATCTGAACTTCTCTGGTTTAAAGTTGCTCCATCAAAAGAATATGGTGACTAGTCTTCCACAGATTGATCATCCTCAGCAAG